GGCGGTGCCCCAACCCCCCAATCGGCCCTACCCTGAGCATGACTGAGGGTGGCATTGCAACCTCCCAATCCGCCCTGCTCTGTGCATGACAGGGGGCGGCGCTCCAACCCCCCAATCAGCCCTGCTCTGAGCCCGACCAGGGGCTGCACCTAGGGATTGGGCCTGCCCTCTGCCACCCAGGAGCAGGCCTAAGCCAGCAGGTCGTTATCTCCCAAGGGGTCCCAGACTGCGAGAGGGCACAGGCCGGGCTGAGGGCCCCCCGCCCCCGTGCACAAATTTTTGTGCACCGGGCCTCTAGTATACTAATAAAAGCATAATATGCTAATTAGACCAAACGACCATCCGGACTTCTTTCCAGACAAAGCCACGGTGGCGGAGGCCCAGGCAGAGGTGGTTAGGGGCAATCAGGCCAGCAGGGGAGCAGTTATGGAGTGATCAGGCTGGCAGGGGAGCGGTTAGGAGGCAATCAGGCCAGCAGGGGAGTAGTTAGGGGTGGATCAGGCCAGCAGGCAGGCAAGCAGTTAGGAGCGAGCAGTCCTGGATTGTGAGAGGGATGTCTGACTGCCAGTATAGTCCCGATAGGGATCGGCCTAAACCAGCAGTCGGACATCCCCTGAGGGGTCCCAGATTGGAGAGGGTGCAGGCCAGGCTGAGGAAACCCCTTCTCCCGTGCACAAGTTTCATGCACCAGGCCTTTAGTGCAATATATAATAAGGAAAAGATAGTCGACCAGTCTGTAATTTCCCCTACAGATAAAAGTTAATGATTAATTTAATACAAATTATACTCTGTTTAAGATGCTAGGACACTGTAATAGGTAATAAGCAGGGAGAATACTGAGAGGAATAGGAATTAAACTCTGCCATCAAAAAACTTATCATCCAGGAGGGGAGAATGCTGACTGTAAAGTTAACCACAGTGCTATGAGGTACATTGAAATGAACTGCAATATGGTAATTGAGCTGAGCTTTACGCATTTTAAGGATGTTTTCCCTTTGATTACTTGTTCAAAGTTGACAATTTGAAAAATATAGAAAAGCACATACACAAAAAAGCACATGTAATTTCCCTACCAGGAGAGAACCATTATTAATATTTTAGTATATTCTTTCTTACATGCTTTTCATTTTTCCTTTTTTTTTAAAATATTTTATTGATTTTTCACAGAGAGAAAGGGAGAGAGATAGAGAGTTAGAAACATCGATCAGCTGCCTCCTACACATCTCCTCCTGGGGATGTGGCCGCAACCCAGGTACATGCCCCTGACCGGAATCGAACCTGGGACCTTTCAGTCTGCAGGCCGACGCTCTATCCACTGAGCCAAACCGGTTTCGGTCATTTTTCCTTTTAAAGTAGACTAAAGCACCTGTCCAGTGTGGCTCAGTGGTTGAGCACCAACCCATGAACCAAAAGGCCCTTAATTTGATTCTCAGTTGGGACACATGCCTGGGTTATGGGCTCGATCCCCAGTAGGAGGCGTATGGAAAATAGCTGATCAATATTTCCTTCTCATTGATGTTTCTATCTCTCTATCCCTCTCCCTTCCTCTCTCTCTCTCTCTCTCTCTCTAAAATCAATAAACACATATATTTAAAAGGAAATAAAGTAGCCTAAAGCAATACATACATGCATGTGGCAAAAAATTGAAACAATAGAGAAATGCACACAACTGAAAAAGGTTGTCAATCAAGTTCACTGTCATCAATCCAATGCCAATAGGACACCCAAATTTGGGGTGCAGTGAAGAGAGACTTTATTCAAGTGAAGCAGCTGAGGTGTTACAGCACCTGTTACAGTCCAAGCAGAGGAAATGCTGCTAAAAGTGTGTTCTACTGGACTGAGGGGAAGCTGGCTTACATAGAGAGAAGTTCCTGCCCTAGTCCCATTGGCACATTTCTACGCAAATGAGGACTCCAAGTCCAAACTGTTTGATTGGTCCCAATAGCACTGTTGTGATTGGTCAGAATTGCCCATTCTTTTCTTTTTAAAAAAATATATTTTATTGATTTTTTAGAGAGAGAAAGGGAGAGGGATAGAGAGTTAGAAACATCAATGAGAGAGAAACATCAATCAGCTGCCTCCTGCACACCCCCTACTGGGGATGTGCCTGAAACCAAGGTACATGCCCTTGACCGGAATCGAACCTGGGACCCTTCAGTCCACAGGTCGACATTCTATCCACTGAGCCAAACCAGTTAGGGCCAGAATTGGCCATTCTGAGTAACATTATTGAGCTGCTCAGATTAGTCTATAAAGATGAAAATAAGGGTATAACTGCATAGCTCCAATTCTAATGGGAAGGTCTGAGTCTCATGGGTCCAAATGTAATACCAGGAGCTATTTTATAAGGCTCAGCTCAGATGGCAGGAACACAGTGCAGGAAGCTTGGCAGCCTAGTTTGTGGTTTTTCCCTGAAATGCAGTGTGCATGAAAGGCCCCATATAAACAACAGTTAGCTGCTAGACCTTGATTATAAATTTGGGCCCAGTTAACCATAAGGAGTCCTTTTTTTTTTTTACCTTTTCTTACAACTTTTCAATGAGTGCCCATTGCATGGAATAAAGTCCAAATTCTAGAGCAGTGCAAATGTGGCTCTTTAAGAACTGACAGACATTTTCTACAATTCCTTACATGCACAATACATTCCAGCCTTACTAAATTAATTAAAAATTTTGAATTTACCATGGTGTTTTATCTATCTTGTTTTGTATTGTTAACGTAAAAAAACCATTGAAACCTGTAAAGAATTTTTGTGAGTTTATTTGAGCCAAACTGTCGACATATGCCGGGAAGCAGAACCTCAAGGAATTGAGATAATGCTCCGGAGAATGG